TGCAGTGTGCCACATTTCATCTGTGAGACAAATCCAACTCCCCAGCGTGGGTACAGCTGAGGGCTGAGGGTGTGGATGTGGCCAGGGACAGAGGGAAAAGCTGTGCTTTTTCTTCGATAGTGTGGAATGGCCCTTGGAGCCAGTTGACTGGGATGGATTCCAGCTGGAGAGGGTAGGAGAGAAGGGCAAGGAGCATCAGATGAATAAAGGACCATAGTTTTGTTGGCCTTGGAGCTCTCTGTTTTCTAGGGCAGAGCTGCCTGTGCCAGCCTGTTATAGCCACATTGCTGAGCTGTCTTGCTTTATAGTGTTTATATTTCTTTCCCTTATTCTTCCATTACTTTTTTGAATACTTTCATGTCCACCTCTTTCCATTGCTCTTCTTCCCTCTGGTATTCCAGTCTAATAAAACCATAACTGTGCCAATCACAAAAGATCCCCAACAGAAGAATTAAAGCTTCTACAGGAGGTTCCTTTTTTAGTCTTTTTTAAAGGCATTGCTTTTCTTTAAAATGAAAGATGAAGCATTTTCTTTTATCCTTTAACTTTACTGTCACATTTTATTAAGTCAAAATGATAGTTACAGTTAGAGGAAAGCAGGATATGAATTCCTGGTACAGCCATTTTTAAAGTGTGCTTTGTTTTAAAGCCCTGAAGATTGATTGAAGGTATTTTTCTTTTAGACATGGAGCTTTAGTCAAAAGGGGCATGATCTGAGTTACCCTCTGTAAATCAGGATTAGCTCCTGTGAAATCAGTGGTGTTACAATGATACAATACGGGGCAAGTTGGAAAAGACTCATGCCCTGAGAATGAATGAGGGAGGAACTGTGGGCGATCCCCTGAATGCTGCCCTTGCACGGGGGTGAAGCCGCGAGGCAAAGCAGAATTATACAAATTATACACTGCCCCGTTGGGTGCCATGGAGTGTCCTGGGTGAGAAGCGGGCAGGTGGCAATGGGTTTGTGCTGACACAGGTGCTGTGGTTGCAAACCCCAGCTTTGGGATGCTCTGAGCCTGCAGACCTCCCAGACAGAGCCGCTCTTTGCCCGTTCCCTGCCACCGCCGCTGCCGTCAGGGAGGCTCCTGAGCTAAGAAAGCCTGATCTAAGAGACAACAGGATGGTGGCAGAAGTGGTACCTCTACAAAATACCTGTCTCTGGGGCACATTTCACCGGGTCCAGTGCAGCCTGAATGTGTTGACCTTTTTTTGTCAGAGGGCCGGAGGGATTCACTGTGCAGTGAATCCCTCTGAGGGGAGATCCTCTGAGGGAATCCCTCAGAGGGGAGAAAAATTCCCATCACTGTCCTTTGGGGCTGTGCAGTGGTGCAGAGGACAGGCTTTCGTGAGGGAGAGGACAGATAAACTTGGAGAGATAATGTTTTTTGACATTTTCATCTTTTTTTAACATGTCTGCATTGGGCTGGGGAGGGGAATAGCTACAGTGGTAAAGATGAATCAAAATGAGCAAATAAAGAATTGAAATATGTCCTGTCTGAGATTTGAGTTTAACCAGGGATTTGAGCTCTTGTCTCTCATCTGCACTGAAAACTTGACAGTTGATTTCTTGAGGCCTAAGCGGTTCTGAGCAGAGAGTCTAATAAGAACAGCTCTTTTTATAGCATTTAACTGCATCTAAACAGCTTGAGGCCAGGGCAAGTTCCAGCAGTGCAAAGCAGCACTAGCCTGGGCTGTGCTTGGGACATTCAGTGTTCTAGCAGTCTGGATGGGGACTGGTCCTAAGCACTGGTCATACTCCAGCCCTCACAGTGAAAATCTGCAGCTTGGGCGAAATTGGAGGGTGGGCTTGGCCATCTCCAGTAAAATTAAAACATTTCATTTCATTAAAACACTTCATAACTGCTGGACTCTCCCAGGCAGTTACGAGCTTGCTCTTGGCACTCAATTGACCTGTGCTTGCACATGGCACTGCTTCATATTTGAAGTATGGGGGTTTTTTTTGGAAACAAATTTGCAGCGGCTGGAAATAGTAATTACTAAGTTAGAGTCTTTCTTAAAATATTGAGAAAAAGTGAGCAAGGCAGCCTGGGAAGGGGCAGATTGAAGGAGTAAGCTTTTGCGGTGCTATCCACTGTCTCACTATTGTTCAGCTGGCGCTCCAGGGCTCTGGCTTCGTCACCCTTGATCAAGTTGGCATTTACCCATTGACTCTGACTCCAGTAGACACCAGCTCAGGGCTGCATGTGACACTGATTTTGTTCAATTTTCCAACACGTGAGAGCTTCACACATTTGATCAACACAGTTGGATGTAGGAAACAGGGAACATGGTGAAGGGTACAAGTTTTTTATAATGTTTCTTTTTCATCTTTTTTTGGTCATATATTAATTCTCACTTAAAATCAAGTTTGAAATCATTGTTTTCATGCACACTTCAGATTCCCCTATGACAATAAGGAAAAAGAAGATGGAACTTTACCCCAAATACCGGTTAGAGCTTTCTAAGGAACACTGAAGTCTCTTGGACTGTGGTAAAATCTCCCAGGGAAAGTGGCAGAAATCCAGCTACTTGGCACATTTTACAACTAGTCCAGACAAAACACTAGTAAATGTACTCTGCTTTGGCACAGAATAGGCAGTGGGATGTTATGAAGCTTTCTCATATGCAACTTTTTATCATTTCATGACCCTGGCAAGTTTGAAACTGGAATTTACTCATCTGCTGATTGTACAACACATCGGGCTGTAGAGGAGCGTGAGACCCTACTGTGTGTCTTTAAGATTTTTTTTCACCTAGCTTGAGATCATTGTTTGGATGATTAGTATATGAAAATGGCCATATTGGCTCAGACTAAAATCTGTCTAGTTTAGTACCTTATTTCCAGGATTAGCCAGTAATGGCTGCACTGGGAGTAGTAGAGCATGCATAAAATGAGATTTCCATGACTGTCTCTTCCAGTTTCCAGCAAGAATATCTGACAGTGAAAAAGTACTTTTGCCTTTTGTGCATTTCCCACAACAACCATCTCCTACCTAAGGAAAGTTTGGCTTTGACTTTAAGTGTATCCGAAAGCTGTACAAAATGCATCTCCCTGGCCTTCACATCTCTGAGCTGTGCTTCGCTTCTGCATCTGTAGTGGAGAAAACACGCTTATTTAAACCAGTGGCTGAAAATATAATTTGATGCCTCATCATCAATAATTTTTATTACAGTGTGACTTGCACAACATGTCCATCATGTGAGGTGCCACGGTGCTCAGTGGTGTACGCCCTTCAGTATGCCTGTGCTTAATGACTAAATGCTGTGCTGGCCTGAGCTTTAAATGATTTCACATCTCTCCCTTCTACCAGTCCCATTTTTTAATTTAACGTTGTATTTGCTGTGTTTTTGAAAAAGGCACCCTCTGTGGTAAAGTGCTGTAGAACGTCATTTGGAGAACTGGAAGGCGTTTTTATACATCACTGTATAAAATCTGCATATGTATGGGGCTGGGAAAAAAGTGAAATGCTGTAATGTCTCACTCACACTAGCTGGGAAACCAAGTCCTTAGAACTACCCCAAGTCCTGAATGCCAGTGCTATTTTCAGTCAGAGGTATGTAGCTGCTGCTGAGCACGCACATAATGGATGTGCTGGCAGCTTATCTTTATGCCAGTGTTTAAAGTCACAGAGAAATGCAGTTAAGAATAAAACATCTTTCAAACCATCTCCCATTGCTGCTGTAAGCAGTTCCTTATTGCTCCTGTGATGCCCAAAGACCTTTACAAGCTTCTTCCAGCTCCCTGATTTAACAATATTGGAGTTTGGTCCACGCCGCAAGCCTGCCATTGTCCATCAGTGCCTCGTGTTACCTGCCATCAGCTTGACCATTTCAGGTCACTGAAAGTGTTTTAGAGACTCCAAACAAAAATGTAGAGGCATCAGGCACTGCAGGTGTTGACTGTTACACTACCTTTGTGAATCACTACACCTGCAGGAATTGAAAATCTTGTTACTTGTGAATTTAATGAGAATCAGCTTTAGCACTGGGTAGGATTTAAGGGTAGAAGACTCCACTTGTTTGAAAACACGTTTGCAATAATTGAACAAAGTTACATAGGAAAATATAATATGCACATCAGTAAGATTAAATTTTATGCAGATTTTTCCTAAGCTGTAGGATCATCTTGGGAAGCTTGTGGCATGGGCTAATTAATCCTCCATCCCCTGCCTCAAGCCTGCTTGGCCCAAGGGAGTTTTTAGAGCTGTGCCTTAACTGCTGCTGTTGTTGTTAAAAAGCTCACACAGAAAAGGCATGACTTCCCACTCTCCTCTCCCCAGAGTGAGTGCTTCTCCTCTTTAGCTGTGCCTCAGCTCTTGTGACTGGGAGCTATAGCATCCCATAATAATGCAAGCAATTGACTCAGTTCTCACCATTTTCCCCAATAAACTCTTTTAATTTTTATTGTACCTCAATTAGCACTTTCCTGGCAACACCTTTGAATTGGCTTTTTTTGTTTGAAGACATTTAAAACAGCAGTGGTAAAATGTGTAAATCACCAATTAGAACAGTATTAATTACACATGTGTTTTCCTGATGACTGATGTTGGCCTTTCCTTAGCAATCTCTTGAACGTAGCATGACATTTACCAGGGCACATCGTGAAACTGAGGAGGGAGGTGTCCACGCTGGGGGACACATTTACATCTGGAGTATTTGGGATTTCAGGTTGTCAGCATCAGCCATTGCACACCAGCTGCTGTTTAAGGACATATACCCCAAAGGCACACAGAGATAGATATTTAGGGAGCTGTTCACTTCCTTTGCCTTTGAAGTAAAAATACAGTTGTAAATTGAGGGGGTTGTTTATTTTTTGTTTATTTGGTTTTTTGTTTGGTTTGGTTTGGTTTTGTTTTTTAGATTCTGTCTGTGGAATATTACCTTGTGTGCCTAGCACAAGTGGGGTTGGGATGAAAGGGGAACCTCCACCCTTCCCTACGTGTGCTACCTGCTCTGGATAAATATTTGTCTTTCTGAAATTGGAATTATTTGTATTTCAGGTATCCTCCCTGGGTCTATCTTGGAAGCTAGTTCTGCAGCCGCCCTTCAGTCATGATTGTTTCAAGATTAAAGGCCATTTCCCTGTCATTGCCAAGCCTTTTTCTTCTTGCTTTTCATCTCTCAGCATCACAGAATGTACCTGAATACTCTGAAGCTGAACATCAGCAATGTGTCAGGAAAGAACACCCCACAATTGCTTTTGAAGGTAAGAGCTATTCGTGTTTCAGATTCCGGTAGGATGATCCATTTCAGTTTAGTCTGTGCTGTTTTCCTTACCCCTGTAATCCACAGGCCAGTGAAAGTGGCCTGACAATCATTTTCCCATTGATGCTTTTAGAGTGTTTTAATTCGAGGTTTCACAGCAGTCACTTAATACAGACAGATTTGGAACTACTGGTCTGAGAATCTCCATTTTCTACTGTGCTCCAGGCCCCCTGTAATCCTGTGCCACGCTGGAACCGTGTTTAAGTTTCCTTTTCTCTATCGGGATTCAGTAATGCTTATATACCTCACCTGGCTTCCTGGAGCCAGACACTTAATAAGTGAAATGTGATAGAGAATGTGGACACACTTGAGTGCAAGAGAAGTAAGTTGATTTAAAATTGCAGGGAGTGGTGGCCCTTTTGTTTGTAGCTTTTTTTGTTTGGTTTGGTTGCGTATTTGTCACCTGTGCCAGTAGTTTTTCTGTCATTCATCTGGGCAATTAACTTGAATGTGAGAGGGGTTCTTTGTGTAGCAATGGGCAATCTTTTTACTGTTCTTTTAAAGCATGGAATTCCTCTTATCTTTATCCCAGTCAGATTTTCCATGAGCATACATGTATTCCTAATAATGTACTCTGAATACACTTATCCACATGACAGGTAGATCATTATACTGGTACCACCATTATTTCAAAATACACTCCAGACCAGTGTGTTAAGCTCAGTGTGCCAGCATGAGCAGCTGCTGAGTCTCCTTGCTAAAAATGGTTTCCTCCTAAATGTTGAAATATCGATTTTGGCTTCCATTTAAGGCTTTGCAATGCATCTCCAGTTACATTCTTTGCTAAAGGCAATTAAGTACCTTGCAATGTGTCTCTAGTTAGGTTCCTTGCTAAAGGCAATTTAGTCGTGGTTTTGTGACCTTTGAGATAGAGTTTCCAGGAAGAAAGTAGTCAAAGGCATCCTTGCTGACCTTTCAGGATTCTTCTAGAGAGCTTTACTATTCTTCGCAGAGAAGGAAACTCTTGTCTCTTAAATTGGAAAGTTTAAGAGATTTCTTGTCTGTTTTCCATTATCCATGCCTTAAAGGTTTAAGTGGATTAAAATAAATTAGCAAAATCTTTAAGCCTGTATGATACAGCACTGGCTCTAACCTTGCTCCGGTAAATAAACCTTGATTTTAATTGCTAAGTAAGTCTAACCATCTGCTTTAACTGGGTAAGGCCAAAAGCAGAAACCCTTGCTGTTGAAACATGGTGAACCTCAGTGGGATATTAAATAGATAATAAAATAATGAAGATGTTATAGGTACAGAAAAGAGAAAAAGTGTTGCTCTGTCTATTAACCAGGAGCACCAAACTTTGAGTTTATAGAGGCTATGTCTGTGTGATCCAGCACTGAGGTAAATAATTCTGCATTAATTAATTCTTTCATTGCATTAGGAGCCCCAGTTCCTGCTGTTGAGGAATTGGTGGGCATTTTTTGGCACTCAATATGAGTGCTTCTCCGCAGAATTGGTGGCTATGTAAACACACTCATAATCTGCCAGTTTGCTTTGTTTTAATCAGGCATGAATATTTCACAGAAAAAAAATAATTTGTCTTCCCCTTTTAGTGTTCTTGTTCCCTTTCTCTCTTCAGTGATAGAGGACAAAAAACGTTAATTAGAACTTGACAACTGTGCAAAAGAAAGATTGAAATTGCAGACACATAAAGAAAATGACCCAGATTATCATTTGAGTCTTTTAAACCCAAGTTAGATTCAGAGTTATTGTTTTTTCTCAGCACTTGTTTCCTTGTGATTGTTCATGATAGTTTAATCTTATGTTTTCTGCTGCAAGGCTCAGCTGGAAAATACACAGGAATAAAATTAAAGGCACCTTTTTTCCCCTACACATATCTTTTAAGATCTGTGGAAGAGGGCTCACACATCCCAAACCACATCTCTGTTCATAATCTAATTTACCTTAAAGCTATGCCCTGTTCTGATGCCAGCACATGCAGGTTTAGGCTGCAAAGGGGAGAAATAGGGGAATATAGATTTTATGTAGATTTTATGTGCTGTTCCAGATTGCTCTGAGGATGTCTCTGCTTAACAGTGAGGCTCGTGGGCTTTCTGTGGGTCCCCAAATGCATTGTGTCATGGATCACAACCTGATATGCAATGGGAATGTGTAAAGATTGAAAGAATGACCCCAGCAGCCCTGCTGATGCTCCTGCTGCCAGGGGAAAAGGATTGTGTTGCATCAGCAATTTTCAGTGAATGGACCATATTAATAATAAGGCCCCTGACCATTCAGTCATACAGGATGCATTAATTTACTGCCAGAATGAAAAGGTTAACAAAACAGTTTATGTTACAAAGGGGTTGAATAGCTTCTTTTTCACAGCCTTGCTAGCCAGGCTTCCCATCACCAGACAAGTGGAATGCCATAACATGTTTTGTGTTGTCTAATCTTCAGTTCCCACCTTGCTTATGCTCAGTCTCTTTTTGTTGTACTTTACCCCTAGATGAGGATATTCTTAACATCAGTTGACTGGATAATATCCCTGTTGTGGAAAAATCCAAGTAAAACTTCTTTCTGTTCATCTTTTCCCTTATTTCCTGAGAAGTTATGTATTTTCTGTGTTGTGCTTATTGTATCCCATTCACACTAGTGAACCATCTGTTTGAATTGGTATCTTTTTTTATTGCTATGAGAGTGGTAAGAAAGACAGAGGACAATACAGGCCCTACTCATTTAAGGAGAAAGGAGTCTACACGTGCAAAATGCTTTTACTTTAGCTGTGTTCAGACAAAATGCCTGTTTCTTTACAGAGTTCATTCTCCAAACCACCTGCTGGTACTTGTGACCTAGAGAAAATGGTCTAGACAAGTCGTGGGACATAAATTCTGGCTCTAAATATACTTTACATTCTAAAGATAAAGTTTGCACTGCCAGGAGAGATGCAGGCTGGGAAGGGGCCGTAAGCTGAATGGTTTATCCTAGCAGCCTGCATAGAGATCGTGAGGGACAGGTTAGGAATTTCATGCTTGCAAACACTGTCCTATGTTTTTGCACAGTACCGAATGGTGCCCCAATTTCCCTGGGGCTTATAAATGATGCTCATTGTACAATACACCAACAATAATAATGTACCCAGTTTGGGCTGTTCATAATTAGATTGTTCTACTTTGTGCTTATAGGAAATCCAGTTAAAGTTTGATTTCCCTTGTTAGATCAATAAGAAAATGATCTTCTACTTCCCAGGAGGCTGTTTCTGGTGTTTTATTACCTGTTTCACTGTGAGTGGGTAGCTACATTAAGGGTCTTGCATGCTTGTTTGTTTTCCAGTGAGTTGAGAAATTAGTGAAACAAGACAAGTATTTCCTTAGTGCATCCTTTTTTATTTATACATGCATGAACACATGCATCCAAGTCCCATTTCACAAAACAGTTTGTCATCCTGGCACAGATTCCCTGTGGACCACTCTGGTAAGCTGAACACCAGAGAAATCTTTTCTAGGTCTTGTCAATCATGTTTATCTTTCTCATATTTTCCATATGCATCTTATAAACAATGGATCGATCCCTCCATTTGCAACTGTGCGATGCCTGTGTCATACTTGTCCTGGTTATTTGTTGTACAGCTCTTTCTTGGACATAAAGCATCTTTGCTATTCATTAAAGACATTTGGAGTTCCTTTGTAACATGCCTCTTGGGAAACATCTTCCACACCAATACTATGTAAAGTTTGTTATTTCGAGAGCCAGAGCCGTGAGTGACATGTGTAGATGTTCGTAATGGCTGCAGAGTGCTTGGTTTCAGCTTGTTTACCAAGGAAATGCTTAAGAGTTTGCAAACTCATCTGTGTTTCATGAATCATTTGGAAGTTCAAAACTTCACTACAAAGGAGTTGTAGACATGTTTCCACTTGCAGTTTCTACCATTATTTATTTCTCATTAGTTTTATCCATTAAATCACTATGCTCAGGAAAAAGTATCGTAGACTTCCCAGGTTTTTCTCTGTTCTGTCTCCCAGGGCTTTCTCCCCTGGGTCATGGCAGTTAGGGTAAGCTGGAAGAACATCATTTGGTCCTTGCTTTAATAATTACAGCCTGTCTTCATCTATAAAAACACTTCAACTGATCCCATGCTGTGGAAGAGCAGAGAGGTGGACTTGGTTAAATAGCTTTTATCTCAGATCTTCTCAGGACTGCAAAGCTCAGCTCTGCAGACTGTATCATCATGGCTGGTGTGAGTTCTCAATATGTGCCATTTGATCCATTGTCTAATCCTCAATCTCTCCTAGATGCAGACAAGTTTCTCTGCCTGTTGCCTCAGGTTTTCAAAATGAATTAGTTTGGAAGTGTTTAAATCTGGGGTTTTACTTCAAACTGTCTGTAATTATTACCCCCTACCAGAAAAATGTGATTCAGATGACTATAATGTAGGTTGCTATATATTTTCTCGATATTTTATTTCTTTTAAAAACATTTTATTGAAACATGGCCAGCTTCAAACACTGAAACCTGTGGGGAGCAGCTAAGTGTTCGCTTGTTGTATTGAAAGCAAAAGCTGTTTTAACTTTGTGGGCTGAAGGATAATGAGGTATGATTTATTTCTTTAGAAGGTTCTTTACATTTCACCCAACACCCCCACTAATGTTGAATTGGTCACTAATACATTATTCCCTTTACTGTATATTGACAGGGGAAAAAAGCACATTAGCATTCATCAACTCCAAAGGCCAGCTGGGAAAGCCTCTTAGGAAATTCTGGTAAAGATTTACACTTTCCTTGAGCAAGTAAGATCTTGACAATCCAAACCAAAATTTTAGTTAACGAAGGATGAAGATTGTGGGGTGAAGTATTAGAAGTGTATCTGGCTAAGCATCAAAGGGAAGGCAAAATACACTATAGAGGAGTTGTCTTCTAGCTCACAGCCTTGATGCCCTTGAATGTCCAGACAGGGAGTCCAAATGTTAACTAGTGATGGAGTGTTGACTGGAAACTGGTGGA